CATTAAGACTCATTTAGATGTGGCAACCAAAAACAATTTAATAAAAGCATACGATCAAGTGTTTCACACGTATATAATAATAGAATACACATTATTCTGAAACAAGAAAAATCAAAAGTAGCCTCACAAAAATGTGTCTAAAGTTCTTGGATGACTTGATGAATCTGTTACCTGGTGATGAACTGCTTTTTCAGAAAAGATTTACTTTGCACAGTTTTCTACAGGCGTGCACTCATGCTTTTCACATTCTCTCCAAGCTCATTTAGCAGAATTAAGAACGTGAATGTGGCATCTGGGGCAAACACACAAATGTGCTCGAGGGCAGAGGCACAGTAACATGGGAGGTGGCCAGAGCTGTGCAGTGAAGGAAGTAGAAAGAACAGTGAGATTTTGCAAACCAAAGAGCATCCAAATACACTAGCCTCAAAATGGTAAATTCTCCCTAATGATATCCCCAATCTGGGGAGGAGGGAGGTCGGATGAAGTGTGAATGAGATGATAAAAACCTTTCATTTGTTTCTTTAACTTTAAGAAGGAATTAATGGACCATCTTTTAATGGTCCGCACAGTGACTCAGTCATCAGCACGTAGATTCTCTTCAGCAAATGTGTCCTCCGAATACCATTCGCCCTCAACACCCGCACTTATTTGTTGCTTCATAAGCCCCATCTTCCAACAGTTGGTGGGAGCAGAAAAAAACACGAGAGGGAAAATAATAACAGCTGGTTTCAGTGGAAACAACAAGAGATCTGGGAGTCCTACCCAGTGGCATGCTGGAGGAGGCTTACACCAGATCAGAAAGTTAGACTTTTAGGATTTTATGAGCCAGTTGTAAAACACAATCATTATTTTAAAATAAATAATAAAAAACTTTAAATTGTGTTTAAAACAGAGGGACTAAATATTTAAAACACATCCTTTCCTCATTATTTTACTGTCTTCCTTTTTCTATGCTTCTGAGGTTATTTATGCTTATTTTATCTGTATGATGGAAATGCTATGTAATGTTGTACTTCAAATTGGCCAAGGTGGGAGTATTTACACCAAAGAAATTGGCAAATGCTAAAAATCAGGGTGTAACATTGTTTTGTTGATCGTCTAGACTTAAAAAAGTGATGGAAAACTTTTTTCTAGTAATGTGTATTCAACTTAAAATGTGTCATGTCATTATATTGCCAATAGCACAAAAGAATTGAGGCAACCCCCCAAAATGGACAGAAGACCTAAATAGACATTTTTCTAAAGAAGACATATAGATGGCCAATAGGCACATGAAAAGCTGCTCTACATCGCTAATTATCAGAGAAATGCAAATCAAAACCACAACAAAGTATCACCTCACATGGTTCAGAAAGGCCATCATCAAAAAGTCTACAAATAATAAAAGCTGGAAAGGGTGTGGAGAAAAGGGATCCTGCTACACTGTTGGTGGGAATGTAAATTGGTACAGCCGCTATGGAGAACAGTATGGAGGTTCCTTAAAAAAATAATAATAGATTTACCATATGATCCATCAATCCCATTGGTGGGCATATATCCAGAAAAAATGAAAACTCTAATTCGAAAAGATATATGCACCCCAGTGTTCACAGCAGTCCTATTTACAATAGCCAAGACATGGAAGCATCCCAAGTGTCCATCGACAGATGAATGGATAAAGAAGATGTGGCACATATATACAATGGAATACTACTCAGCCATAAAAAGGAATGAAATATTGCCATTTGCAGCAACACGGATGGACCTAGAGATCGTCACACTAAGTGAAGTAAGTCAGACAAATATTATATGATATCACTTATATGTGGAATCTAAAAAAATAATACAAATCAACTTATTTACAAAACAGAAACAGACAGACATAGAAAACAAACTTATGGTTACCAAAGGGGGCGGGGGAGGAGGAGGGATAAATTAGAGGAGTTTGGGATTAACAGATACACACTACTATATATAAAATAGATAAACAGCAAGGATTTACTGTACAGCACAGGGAACTATATTCAATACCTTGTAATAACCTATAATGGAAAAGAATCTGAAGCTGTACACCTGAAACGAACACAGTACTGTAAATCACCTATAGTTAAACTAAAAAAAAAAAAATTGAGGAAATAATTTTCCAGTACTTGAAAACTATTACCCAATTCCGCAAAGAATCTACTCATATGTTGGAGGAGGTCATGGAGAGGACCTGACCTCCAGTTGAACCTCGAGCTGGACCCGGGCAATGAGAGGCTCCCCACTCCCTCCCAGTCTTCGAATATATGTCCTGCCCACCATTCCCTCAGTCGGGCTTGTTTCAAGGATGCAGCCTGTACAGAGCAATGTGTTGTTGAGACCATCTGGACGGTAGACATGACTGAACCCAAAAAGGCCTCTAAATAAACTGAAGATTCTGGCTGCTGTGGGTGGGGGCGGAGAGCAACTCATCTTGCAGCCCTTCCAAGACAAGTGTTGTAAATTCTCCTGCAAATTAACCCTGCCGCCTACCAATCAGGAGTTGCCTGCCTCTTCTGCCCCTCCTTGGCCTCGGGCTATGGGGGGGGAGGGGCAGTCTAGAATTCCACCTGGGTTCAAACCAATATCATGTCATCGATGGAGTGAAGTCACAATACCAACTTCCTGGTTTCACTTTCCTATTCCTCCTCAAAGGAAATAAAAATATTAACCAGCATTTATGTCAGAACTACAGAACCAAGAGTCCATCAAGTTCATCAAACTAAAGAGATCCTGCCAGAATTAATCGGTTATGTAGAATTTACAATAAAGAGTACTGCGTGTTTTATTATTATTATTTGTCAGAGTGACTGCTACACATCCTTATATATATGTAAGATTTATAATGTATTATGTAACAACGTAAAATATACATTTATGTTTTGTTTTGTCCGAGATCCAATTATTAAGCGTTTACCATCACTCGGCTGTCTCTACCATCCAAAACCTATTGATCTGAAGAAGGTGTTTAACTCTACAAGCATCAGCTGCCTCATCTGCAAACTTGTGAAATGGGTGCCTTCCTCAGAGGATAATTTTAGGGGTAAAATAAAATAACGTTCATGCAAAAACCCAGTATGGATCGCAAATGTTAATTACCGTCATCCATTCAGCTGTATGTTTTCTCTCCTAATACGAGCTCCTCTAAGGACTCGCAGGGTTTTCAAAGATGAACAGTGTTTGATCCTTATGCTCAGGCTGCTTACGGTCTAGTAATGTGGAAATCACTAAAATAATGTAAGAGGATGAAATGTGTTCTAACAGAGGAAAAAGCAACCTACCGTGCAATTAAAGGAAAAGAAGGGATTGGTCTTTACCTGGAGCACCAAGGAAGACTCCATAGAGAAGGTGGAATTCTGAGATGAGCTTTGAAGAGTAAGTTGCATTTCTATCAGTTGAGAAGGTGTATGTGGAAAATGCAGGCATTCGAGGCTGACACATGAAACACCAAACACATCACCATCACAAGTATCACAACCTCAGCTAAGGAAATCATAACTGCATTGATAAATCCGCTGCATCAAAAACCCTTCCATGTTACTTCCACAGAAAACAGAAAGGATTCTGCGACTATAGATTATACACTCCAGGGTGCCCATCTACAGTTCTGCATATTCAAAGGTTGACTAAATATTTATTGTCTTCCCAGCTTATAAGCCACGTCCACTTCTGATAACCAAAGTGTAAATTATCCTCTGACCTTCTCTCCTTAATGAAAAAAATTCATGTTCCAGTGAATTTTCAAATTATTTTTCAAGGAAACTCTATAAAATACATCCTATTGTTCAATAAGACAAAAGGGACTGTTCCACAGATTTAAAGAAGTCACTGATTCCAGATCTATAAATATATAAATTATGCACACATTATGTCAACAATGAAGAGCACCTCGGAAGTGCAGGTTTAATGGGAGAGTAAAACACGGAGGAGAAAAGTGAAGCCTTTTAAAACATTCGTGGGTACAAGGACTAACTATTAAATAAAGAGCATTATTTTATCCCTCAGTTAATGAGTCTTGCAAGGGTTGACATGACTTGGTCAAACTCACCGAAAACCTTTTTCCTCTTGCTAGTCAAAATATGCTAGCTAATGTTTATGACTTTAAAAAACAACACTTGGAAGAAAGCTTGACAGAGCATCTACTGAGTCTGTATTAAGTGTAATAAAAGAGCGATGTCTATTAATCTCTCACACACAAGTCTCACACGTAAGGTCTGTGGCCTTGACCTCAAGCGACTATGAAATAGACCACAGGCCCAGTCTAGGTCCCAACAGGACATATGTCAAGATAAGCATTCGCTCCCCACTGAAAGCCCTATCGATCTCCACTCTTCCCATTCCATGCACTTCCTGGCAAGCCACTGCGCCTTCTCTCCCTGATGACAGTTGTCAGTCTGTCGCTGTCTGAACACGCAACATTTCTACAAAATCTAAAGAGAAACTGGAAGGGCAGGGGCTGAAACACTCTGTTTAAAAACACACAGCGCGACCTCCTTCCTGGAGATCCAAGACTCCTCAATCACCCCCTTTCAACCGCAGGAGGGAAGAACCGCCTCTTAACTAAGACTTGGAGCTCGCCCCGTCTCCTCGGACCTGGGCATTCCCACGCACCTTGTTACACAACGTTACTGGAAACCATCCCGAGAAGAGAGAGCCCACAAGCCCCTGTGAAACTTCAGCGGGAGTGCGGAGGTGCTAAAGCCAGCCGGCCAACCCAGGGGCTGGGAAGTCGCTCACTCCCCCGGCGCCCGGGCAGCAGCCCCTGGACCTCGTGGCGACGCCCGGCGGGGGCGCGTGAACCCCCGTGCCCGGGGCCGCGGGGAGACAGCGCCCTCCCGCAGGGCGACCCGGTGAGTGCCCGCGGCGGGGAGGGCAGTGCGAGGGGAGCGGCGGGGAGGGTGGGAGCCGGCGGGAGCGCGGGGCTCGGCCGCCCGCCCGGCGCCCGGAGCTGCGGCTCCGCGGAGGGAGCCGGCGAGGCCGGTCCCGGGGCAGGAACTCACCAGCTGCAGCGCGCAGAGGCCGATGAGCGCACAGCGCCCGGTGCAGCAGCCCATGGTGCCCGCGTTGTCCGAGCGGCGCGCGCCGCCAGAGGTCCGCGTCGTCCGGCGCCGCTGCCTCCGAACTCCTGAGCAGCCCCCGCCCGGCGCTCGCCCGGCCCGGCCCAGGCTCCACCGCCCCGCGGCCGCCGCTCGCAGCTCTCGGGGCCGGGCTCGCGCGCCGCCTTTGTTAGTTTCCCGGGCGGGCAGAGGTCAGGACGGCGAGCACGACCCGAGCGTCTGGCGGGGGTCCCTGCCGCCCGCTGTGCAGGTCTGCTTCTTGGGGAGGGGGGCGGGCCGGGCGGGCGGGGCGGGGGCGGAAGGCAGGCTACAGATGGTGAGTGGGTGGAAGTCTGTTTAGGGGAGGGGAGTGTGTAGGAGGTGGGCGTCTGAAAAGTGGAGAGGGCCGCGTGTGTGCGTGCGTGTGTGTGCGTGTGCGTGTGCGTGTGGCGGGAAGGGATGAATGGAAGGGAGTGCCGGGGGGGAGGGTCGGCCTGTCTTGTTTGGAGTCTGGCGAGGGAGGACGAGGAGGAGAGAATGAGAATGCGAATGAATATGAATGAGCGTGAACAGGGGCGTCTGCGGGTGCTGGAGACCCTCGGCAGCGGGTGGAACTGGGGAGACCCGGGCGGGGCTTTCTCGCTGGGGGCTGTGCTGGGTGTCGGGAAGGTGGTCAAGGCGGGTGCGAAGGAGGGAACCGGGTTCGGCTGAGGTGCCCCGGAGGTGGAGAGGGTGGGAGTGGAGACGGCGTGGTGCCCGTGGGAGACGGGCCCAGAGGCGAGAAGCCGAGGGCGGGCGAGCGCGGCGGAGCGCGGGCCGAGCTCCGAGACGGCGGGCTGCGAGCGCGGGCGCGTCCGCTCGGCCGGCGCTGGGCGCGCGGCTCCGGGATCTCGGGGCCAGGGTCGCCCCTGCCGCTGCGGCCGGCTGCCCGGAGGGCGCCCCTGCCGGAGTCTCAGGGGGGAAGTTGACCGAGTTGGATGGGCGAGAGGCGGGCGATGCTGCGGCGAGGAGGTGCGCCGGCCGGGAGCGCGGGGATGGAGCGGGACGCCGCGAGACCTGGCATAGGTTTTCTCCGCTAAAATGCTGTAGAGATTATCACCAGGCGTGAAAGGAGAGGACGCGTGGCTTTTTCTAGGAATGGAGAATGTTTCCTGGGTGAGGATAAATATGATTTCTCCCTAGAGAGAATGAAATTGTTTGGAAGGGGCTTGGAAATAAGACCTGGTCCCGGATGGTTAAGATCCAGGACAAACTCTCCATGAACCCCAAGGAGGCTCTCTTGCTCTCTCTCACCTAATAGATTAGAGCGGAGGAGTTCTGCGGAGGATTCAGTTTCTTCAGGCTCGGTGTCAGATTTCATGGGCACGTTTGCTGTACCTGGTGGAACAACGCACGGGGCTCGCGCACCTGGAAGGGCAGGAACAAGCCTCCCGGCCAGTTGTCTCAAGAGGTTTTCTGCGGATCTTGGCACTGAAACCCCGTTCTAACCCACTGCGGCCCTCCTGGGTCCTTAGTGGTAGGTTAGTGAGAAAAGGAGAGAGATCTCTGTGTTTTTAAAAATTCACGCCGTGCAGGGAAACTCTACTCAAGGCAATCCTTCACACATTACCGGGAGTTTGGTTTTTATTTGTTTTGAAATTAACTGGCTCTTTCTAAAGCGTTCCTTCAGGACTGAGGTTTACAATTTAAAACAGAGCTCCCAGGAAAATGGTTGCATGATGTCTTTGAAATGCTAGTAGGGACACACGGAATAGTCTGAAGATCTGGGTCAATGAAGGGGTCAAGAACACGAGTTGTTAGATTCCACCTCTGTCCGTTGTCTGGGAGAAGGGGACTAATAGAGGCAGAAGCCTTTTTTCCTTTTTTTTTTTTAAACCCACCTTTAAGACATCAGAGATCATGAGGGCATGCTTCTTTTATGCACAATAAACATAACCGTCACCATTCACGATGAATGAAAACAACAGGAAAAAATAGACCCTGACAAAGAGATAATTTAGCATATAGAAAAAGGACAACACAGAAAGTTCCAGGCCACTGACCCCTCTGAAAGCTGTAGGAGGCAGCTGAAGAGGGAGAGAACATGAACTAGTCTACCTACAACTTCCAGAAATGATCACAGCCTCTTCACGATCAGGGACTGTGATGAATGATGATACTAAACATAATGGCCCTTCTTTCCCTCCACATTTACATATGTTTACCCCAGTATCCTTTTTTCATCGTTTTATTTATTTTTTAGGAAGTACCAAATTTGCAGCGTCCTTGCCAGGCACCAGGCTGAGTACTTTATGTGTATTCATTTATTAAGCCCTCAGAACAGCCTATGAAATGGGTGCTATGAGCATCCCCAGTGCAAAGATGTGGAAATGGGAACAGGGCATCCCACGGCTACTGAATGGACCAAGAGGAACTCAAAGCCAGGTCATGTGACTCAAGAGCTCCTTGATGTACGTGTTCACCATACTGCCTTTAAATCTTAGGATGCGAGTGACACCTGCACTGGCACTAACTGCTCCCCACTGGGAAGCAGGCGTAGTAATTTGCATTTACCCCATCTTCAGAGTCAGTGCCACTCACGTGGTGTGATTCCAGGGAACCAGGAGGGTCCTCCTATACCTTTCCCTTTCCCACTGCCCTCTCTACTGATAGACCCAGATCGGCGTTTCTTCCTTGTACAGCTAAAGACAGTTGAAAAATACATTTGGCTTTGAAAGAGAGGAAGAGGAAAGACTCAGAGATGGAACAGTGCTAGTAATAAGTCTAGAAAGTGTGTGAAACGACCTCTGTTTTTCTCTTCGGTCTCTCATTCCTTTTCTAAATTGAATTCCATCATGAACTAAAAATCGTCCTCCCTTCCTTCTTTGTTTCCTTTCTTTCTCAGTGCTGCCCTCAAATACTTCTTTCTTCTTTTCGTAATTGCTTATTATGTCAAAGGCTATGCTAGCTTTGCCTTGGCAGAGGCCAAGTTTGCAGAGCTGAGTGATATACTACCTCTCCTCCCCCGAAGGCTTGGAGGTGGGAAGGGAAAGCAGAAGGTCAGTGAAGCGGGGCCCACTTGGCACTGAGTGCTGTCACCGAGTGCTGTCACTAAGGGAATCACCTGTCTCTTGGGGAGGGGAGAGGAGAGGAGAAGAGAGTAGACAGGGACTGAGCAATGGAAACAGTGGGGCCCAGGGAGGATTTTGGAAAAGTTATTAACGAAGAAATAATAATCTAAGGATCAACTAATCCAGTGTATGGTTGGTTGCGTCATTCCTCACTGTAGAATCTCAGACAAGTCACTTCGCTTCCCTTCGAGGCCTCATTTTCCTGTGTAAAGTGGGCGTGATGTATGACTTGCCCCATGGGAATAAGCCTGACAGTTCTTCTTCATCCTCCACCTACATGTGTCTTGCTCCCTCACCTCATGTCACATCCATAGAGGCCTTTGCTGACCACGCCATCTGATTTAACACCCCAGTCAGTCTATTGCATTTTCAATCAAAACATTGCTTTGTTTATAATTTCCCATCTCCCCCACTCAAAACAATGCTGTTTCTCTAGTGCTTATAACAATAGTTAAACTCAACATTTGCTGAATTAAAAAAGATAACGTGCACATTTTTAGCATAACACTTTGCGCACAGTATACACACATATATGTAGAATACAGTAAGTATGAAACATATACGTATACACAGGCAGACATACCCTAATGACATCAGAGTCTATGGGTTTTTTTCTTTCTTCTATTTCTCAGTTTCTTGGTAAAATTCCTTTTGAGAAACTCCAGTCCTGTCCCCCTTAAAGTTGAGAGAGAAGCAAAATATCTATGCACAGGAAGAGTGAGATAACTGAGTTAAGAGAGTGTCCCTAGAGACCAGACTCAGAAGTGCAGATGTCTAGATTTCACAGGACTTCAAATACTAAGATTTGAGACACCAGCTTGAAGGAATTAAAGTTCCTCCTTAATTATTTCACTGCTTTTTAAAAAAATTTTTTTTGAAGACTTCCAGGTCTGCATTTTTGTTTGAATGAAATAGTGTGCAGTTTGATCAAGTGTTCTTCTATCTCCATTGAGAAAAGTTCCCAAACGTGCCCCTAAATGTGTGTTTTTTGCCCTGGTGCCTGCTTGATGGGGGGCCCTTCTTGGCACCTTTTTTAAGCAAGAAAATTTAAATCCTCCACACAGCCTCCTGCAACTAGCTTAACTTCATGAATATCTGACAGACATTGTAATGACAGGATGGCTGCTCAGCTGGAGCAAAGATAAGGTTCACCCTGGAGCAAAATGTGGAGACCTACAAGTGGAGTGTGTGAAGCATGGTGGTAAAGGCTGTGGTACATCAGTGTGCTGTCCAATGTCTGCTGAGGCCACAGTCAATTCTAGTTGAACTGATTCACTTGTTATGCATAGCAATGAATGTCCCAGAGTGTTGGGGACACGGGAGAGAGATACTTCTTGCTATTATAAGCACTTTACATCATAGTATTTAAAAGTGACCCCCCCACCAAGGGCTGTTTTATTAGGAGGTAAGGTGAGAAAGAAGTGGAAGATGGATAGGGGATGTAAGAGTGTTTTTAAGGACACCAGAAAGCCTGGAAGATTCGAGAATTACAAAAGGAGAAAGCGAGGACATTTCTTTGGAATATTTTGCTTCAAGAATTATTAGTAATAGCTAGTTTTAAAATCTGAAAGGGATAGCCAAGCACCATCTTTTTAAATTTCTGTTTGGGTTAAAAACTAAGCCTCAATTAATACTTACCTAGCACACACTTTAGTGGTCTAACAGCACTGATCTTGTGGCTACTATTATCATAATTAATATTGCAATGATATGCATGTAGAGGGTTTCTAATATCATGAACTGAGCCACCACTACTGACACCAGGAGTTCAAGCATTTCTCACTCAGTAGTTTATTGCCAAACACTGGCGACCATTGGGGATTTCTATGCAACAAACGCTCCTACACGCCTACTATGTCAGAGCCCTCATTTCAGAGACACAAACACTTCCTTTACTACCATTAAAATCTGCTCCCCTGCCCTCTGCTTTTCTCAAGATTTCAGAAGATCAGATTAGACTCCTCTGCATGGTGGCTTAGCTAGACATCCAACAAAGAACGAGAGAAGGTAGCATGACTGAAAGCAAAAACGAGAACATTAATACAAAGTCAGTGAATCCTGATGCCGCCCAACTCGGCTTTTGTATGTATGTATGTATGTATTATCTATCTATTGATATCTATCTATCTGTCTGTCTATTGGATTACATTGTGTTCAAAGGAAAGCAAAGATCTTTTTTTCTTTTTTCTCTCATTTTTAAACCAAGGATGTTAAAATTTTTATCCATTTCAGCACCATATGTGGAGAGAATATCTCTACAAGATGATGAACCTTTGCAGCAGATTTGCTCACATCTCTCTGGTTCCAGAATCGGTCCTATATTATT